CATTCTTCTTTGCTCTGGATGAGGAGAGACCCATTGTTGCATCTAGATGGATGCTTGCAAGACCCCAGAATAGATCACTACAGTAGGATGTGGAATGATGTTTTTGTGTAGTATTTATGCCAATTTTGCTTGATGTCCCCTGCAACCATGGTCCCGAGCCCACAGGTCCAGCTACTTGCTCCCTCAAGGTGGTGGGCTGTGGCCAAGAAGTTCTCATAACTTTGCCCCTTGTTAGCTCTATTATACTTTAGGACATTCTTACAGCACATACAAATGCATATGCAGAAATATCGCCTATCAACTTTATATGTGGTTCCAGGTATATTATTTTTTGCCCAGATATGCCTGATCATCCAGCCTGTCTATCCATCTACTTCTCCGTAGATTAATGTTTATCACTGACAATGCAGTATTGTATATGTAAAAGGGTTTATCTTTGTTGTCTGTACTTCTTGTGCACCTGTGTCTTTGTTTTCCTTAGTGTTATTGTGTTGGTCACTCACTTTTGCTATATTGCCTTTCCTTTCACCCAAATCAGTTTTGTCTCTTACCTACCTAGTCCATGTGTCTTCAAGGCTGTAAATCTATACGGAAACTGACTGCCTCATCTTTCTCCTTCAGAGAAACCTGGGGGGTTTGAACTGCCCACCTTTTGGTCAGTAGCCAAATGCTTTAATCATCATGCCACCAGAGCTCCTTACATTCAATACAAGTATTATTAAATCTGCTTTGTGAATGAGGAAACTCAGATATGTAACTACCTTAAAGTCTAGCTTTTTTAAGTGATGGACCTGAGATCTGAACTATCTGAGCTATGAAGACTCCTGTTCTTCCTTTCAAGCCATGCTGCCTCTCCTCTTTCAAATAATATTCAGCATAACCAAAATAAAATCTAAATTATACACATCTTTACAAGATAAAGACATCTACTGTGTAAGACAAGATTTTTGAAAGCTTGTTCTAAAAATAGTTCTAAGGATAGGCTAGGATGTGGTTGATTTAGTCATTTCTGATGAGCAAATAATATTTTCTTTAATATTTGTACTTATTTATATAATTATGGTATTCAGGCAATAAATCAACAGTATGTAGCTATTTAGACAAGCCATTTTCTCGTGAAAATTTCTTCATAGTTCAAACTTGTACTAAATGCTCAATCATATGTGTATAGAATTTTTCTGGAAGAACACAAAAGAAAACTGGAGACAGGGACTGCCCCTGGGGAGAATTGGGTGAGTGTGGGCTAGGGTGGCAAGAAGCTTACCTTTACTATATGCATACATTTTGTACATTCTATGCTGTACTATATATAAGTTTTATTATTTTAAAACCAGAATCCTGAAAGTACCAAGAACTGCCAGAAGAACAAACAAATCTGTCCTAGAAGTGCAGTCAGAATGATCCTTGGAAGCGAGAATGGCCAGACTTCGTCTTACCTACTTTGGCATGTTGTCAGAAGGGGCCATTCCCTGGAGAAGACTATGATGCTTGATAAGATGGAGAGTCAATGAAAAAGGGAAGGCCCTCAACAAGGGGGATTGGCACAGTGGCTACAACGACGGGCTCAGGTATAGCAGGGATTGTGAACTGGCACAGGACCAGACGGTGTTTTGTTCTCCTGTACACAGGATCGCTATGAGTCAGAGATGACATAACAACAATTTAAAAGAACAATGAACAAAGACCCCAGTCAACATCAAGTGGGAATTGCTCAAAGTCTGTAGCATCTGCAGAGTACAGTTAGTAGAGTTCTGCTTGGTTCCTGATGATTTAATTACTTACTTACTCAACTCACCTGGAGAGCTGTGTAGCTGAACATTTCATGCCTGATTGCAATATGAAAGCAGACATTCAGACAGTGATGTCACTAGGGTTGGTGTCACTGCCCCTCCCCCCAGTGCCTCCTTCAGTATTGGACTATACAGAATCCTTAGTAAAGTTTTTTGTACTGTTACTCATAAATTGTAAATACCCTATAGCACTGAATGCAGTAGCAATAGCAGTGACATAAACAATTAGCAAAATTAAAATTACACCTTTAAATTACAATAGCACCTGCAAACCATGCAATTTGAAGGATCATTGAATTGGGTAATAATGACAGCTCTGTTGGGCAAATATGCTGCAAAACAACTGTAGAATGTTAAAAGGTAAATATGTCACTTTGAGGACTAAAGTGTACCTAATCCAAGTCATGTTATTTTCAATTGCCTCATATGCACATGAAAGGTGGACATTGAATAAAGAAGACCAAAGAATTGATACCTTTGAATCAAGGTGTTGGCAATGAATATTGCGTATACCATGGGCTACCAGAAAGAGCTTTGATGGTACTGCATTTAAAGCATTGGGTTGCTAACCAAAAGGTTGGTGATTAGAACCCACTAGCCACTCTGTGGCGGAAAGATGAGAGTTTGCTTCCATAAAGATTTATAGCCTTGGAAACCCTATAGGGCAGTTCTACTCTGTCCCATAGGGTCACTGAGTTGGAATCAACTTGATGGCAGTGGGTTTGGTTTTTAGGTTTTACCAGAAGGACAAACAGATCTGTCTTGGAGGAAATACAATCACAATGCTCTTTAGAAGCAAGGATGGCAAGACTTTGTCTCCTGGTCTGGGCATATTATCAGGAGCGACCAGTTCCTGGAGAAGGACACCATGTTTGGTAGAGGGTCAGCAAAAAAGAGAAACACTTTAAATGAGATGGGCTGACACAATGGCTGTAACAACGGGCTCAAACGTAACAATTGTGAACATGTTCAAGTACATGAGACAGTCTCACCATCCTCCCTTCTAATGAGCATTCCGGCTGTACTTCTTCTTCAAATCAGATTTGTTCGCTCTTCTGGCAGCCCATGGCATACATATTTAATATTCTTTGCCAACACAACTCAAAACATCAACTCTTCTTTGGTCTTCCTTATTCATTTTCTAGTTTTTGCATGCATGTGAGGTGATTGAAAATACCATAGTTTGGGCCAGGCACACCTGAGTCCTCAAAGTAACATCTTTGCTAAGAGGTCTTTTGCAGCAGATTTGCTCATTGCAGTATGTTATTCAGTTTTCTTGAGTACTGCTTCCGTCAGCATTAATTGTGGATCCAAGTAAAATGAAACCCTTGACAACTTTAATATTTTCTTCATTTATCATGATGTTGCTTTTGGTCCATGTTCTGGTTACCTAGTGCCACTCTGACAGGAATATACCACAAATGGGATGGCCTTAACAAACAGTAGTTTATTCTTACAATTTGGAGGTTTTAAGTTCAAGTTCAAAGTGCCAGGCTCTAGAGGCTGGGTGAAAGCCCCTCAACCCTGGGGTCCAGCTTTGCTTCCTACTCCTGGCCCACTGGAGCTAGAGGCTCTTCTTCACTCAGACAGCTGCTGGCTGCTGAGGCTGACAAACCCAAGGTTGACAAGTAAAAAGGCACAGTCCCGATATTACCAAATCACATGGCAGGCCACTAATTGAAGCACCTTGTAAGTCCCAAGGTCGGCAGAGCATGGCAGGCTGCTGGACAATGACACACCTACACGCAGGGTTCAAGGTGCCATAAGCTAGAGACCATTCCCAAAGCTTCTCCTTATGTACAGGAAGCAGACCACATCCCAAAGGCAGCTACTCAGCTGCTTATGGTAGATTCCACCATGGAGTTGACTGCCAGTCTCATCATGGGGTGTAACTACCACCAGCTGCCCAACCACTCAACCAGGCCCAGCCAAGCTGACACAGAAACATAACTACCATAGTCCAGTTGTGAGGATTTTTATATTCAGGTGTAATCCATACTCAGGGCTGTAGTGGTAATACATTTATATAAATTTATAAATTATATGACTTTCAAAGTGTACTTAGAATTATCAACTATTGCATTTGATCCTGGCATTTTATTTCTGCATTTTTCCATGAGACAAGACAGGCAGTACAGGTATCATCAGGTTTCACTATGAAGAAAATGAAAGCATAACAGCTAATGACACTGCTTTTCCCATTCAGCAGCACTATAGCTGTAAAGACATAGTTCTTCTCTCTTCCACAGCCAGTGTCCAGTACAGTGATGGACCAGACAGGTGATTACAGTTGGAAATGAATGGCCTGATGCAGTCAGAGCTGGGTTCAAATTCAGACTCCATCTCTTACTCTGACTCAGATTTACCTAAGCTCATTTTCTTTATCAGTCAATATGGGAAATAACTGATTCTATCAACATTCATTAAGGAATTCCAATGTGTCAGGAAGCCCTGTTACTGGAGAACCTGAAAGGACCAGTTTATTTTAATCAAGAGATTTTCACAGGGACAGGGAAAGAATTTAGATGTGACTCTAGAGCTAAATCTTAAAAAATGAGTTAGACCTGGGATGTTAAAACTCAGATGCCAGTGGAGGACAACGAAGCAGAGCACATGGAGGGAGCGGGCTGGATAGGGAGAAGAGGCCTCGGCTGCACATGACTCAATCTCTGCAGGACAGGGCCCTGTTCAGCCAAATGAAACACAAGGTTCAGATCTCTCCATTTTTCAATGTTGGAAAGTGATATAATTTTTATTTTTTTAAATAGTGTAAGAGCCAAATAAAATTTGTGAGCCACACCTTACTCACAGGCTGCCAATTTTCTTAGTTCCAGAAGAGAGGGGGGTACTTTAGTCACAAGAAAATGGGACCTACAGTCAAGACCTTGAGAAAGGTAGGCTGGATCGGGGTACTGCGTGTAGTTGTTTGGTTGGAGCATGAGGCAGAGGAAACTGGGAAAGAGGAAAAGGCCAGAGAGTAATGTCAGACTTGAAAGATGTGTGGAGTACAGGGTAGCATGAGATCCAGCCTTGAGTAGGCCAGTTCACTTCATGAACTGCTCTGGAGTGTGGTGAACCTCTGCACCAGGGGACCAGAGAGCCCTGTCCTTTCTACAACAGCATGAGGGTCCAGGAAGGAGCAATAAATGCTACCAGTTATTTTGCTTAACAGATTAAATATATAAAAATCTGAAAAGGGAAGTTGGTTACAAGATGGATTTTATTTACAAGACAATGCTAACACCATTTGCCATTAGGAAACAATTCCAAGGTTTATTCATAAAATTATTAATCAAAATTGCAAGGTAGATTTACAGAGCCACTTAACAGTAACAAAACAAGAGGGAAATGAAATGTTTCAGAGACATCTTAAACAATTCCCAAGAACACACACCAGGCTAGAAATCTACGGTTAAACTGTGGTTCCACAACAGGTTATATTCATTCCTGCATTTTCTCAATAAGTTCTTCCTTGTATTTGCCTTTCTCTTTTCCAACTTGGCGAGATTTGGCTTTGCGTTCCAGAATTTTTTTCCGATCTTTGTCCAATTTTAGCCTGGTGATAACTACCTGTTAGGAGTGAGAAAACAAGCTGATCTTTAATTTTTATTTTTTAAGTGGAAAGGATTTATAACCACAATGATCTTTTATAGCAGAGCTTCCTTCAACAACAGTGGTTTGGGTCCTTCTGCTATCTGGTCCCCCACCCTCTAATTCCTGAGGATCTCAGGAGAGTAGTTAGGTAGTTTAGTGATAGGAATTATCATTTGTGTTGGGCAAAGATTAGACTGCCAATGTGTTTCTGCTTTATTCCTTCAGCTAATAAAAATACACTGCTTTAAAAATATTTGCATCCCAACTAGCTACTGGACAATACAGACTAAGGAAGTAAGACCCTAACCATTCTTCTTTTAAGGATTTGAAATTCTGGAAGGAGAGAACGATTATTACATATTGCATAAAATGAGAGTGCCAAGGAGAGACAGCACATTCTACTAGGTTGAAGTGAAGGCCATAGGATTAGGTGTCCCCACTTCTCTCTTTGGACATTATCTAGTGGAGAAGTAAGGCTGGAATGCCTAGAGCCCTCTTGCCACCAGCCTGAAGATGGAGTCAACACCAAGGAAGATAAAACAGGTAAGAAAAGAATCTAGATCCTTGATGATATCACTAAGCCAATCAATCAAGCCAGCCTGACCCACCTCTGAAAGGCCCTACCACAGCCACCTGGGAGGTGGTACATAGTGCCACCACTTCAATAACTCTGACAGCAGTGTTACCCTACGCTGCTGTTGCTACTATTCAGAATAGGACCATACCTTGCTCGGGTGAATGCCCACATGAACAGTGGTACCATTAGCCTTCTCACGCTGCACCCTCTCGATGTAGATGACATACTTCTTTCTGTACACCTGGACTACCTTGCCAATTTGCTGACCTTTGTAGTGTCCTCGAACCACCTAAGAGAAAATACAACAGAGAATTTCCCCCTCATTTCTAATGCATGAATGTTATAATGAGGAAGCTAATTATCAGGAACATGCAGGCTGGAAACACAACCTTTTGTACAAAAGCAGATTAATCCTAGCATGCAAAAGTCACATGATTTTTTAAATCTAAATCTGTTTTGTGTTATTTTAAGTCAGATGGAAATTCTTCACCTGAATTATTTTCTTCTCTTATCTGAAGAACAAAAAATTTCCTTGGACTAGGATGGACATAACAGAACTAATTGCAAGAATTTTAAAATAACTGTAAAGATCCAAATATAGAAGATGGCTAAAGAAATGATACTAAGAGAGACTGCCACGCAATCATTTAAACATCTAGGAAAATGCTCACAATATGAACTTTAGTGAAAAAAATCAGTACAAAGACACACACACACACACTGTGAAACTTTTATTTTCACCATAATAAAAAACATATATGTATATATGGCATAGAAAACAACAGAGTAGAAAAATATCCAAGTGTTGACAAGACTTTTCTCTTGAAAATAGTATTATATAATTATTTTATTCTATTTTTTCAAATTTTCTACAATACACAAATACTTTAAATTAGAAAGAGTAAAAATATTAAGATCGTGTAGGCTGTTTTTCCATACGAAAAAAATCTGCCCAAGCATTAACTTCATTTATCTGGTAAGGGGTTCAACTAGATTATAATTTTCTTGAAGGTAAGAGACTACTGAAGAACAGGCAAATATACATGATGTTGATTAATTAGTATAGAGGAAGTATCACAAGAACTCTCTCAGTGAGAATCCTGAAATGTCTACGTAGAGTGTTCCAACTTACTTTCCAAGGCAAGTTGAAAAGAAAACAATCATGCCTCATTCAAAATCTACTCTATTTATATGACCAGAGATTCTCAGAGCAAACTTGAAAGGAGTCTGTAGAAAAAAATCACTGTTAACTATCAAGACAAAAGAACAGATGTTAGTAAAACAAGCTCAAGGAACAGCGGGTATAAAGAAAAGTGGCCAGACACTAGACCTAGTAAAGAGGGAAATGAGTTAAGACTAAACCAACTGGGCCAGAAGGGGAGGGAGATGAGGCAAGGACAATACCCAGAATGTGGCTTGAGCAACTGGATGAACAGATGTGCCTTTCCCAGAGAAACAGAATATAGAAGAAATCTTAGAAACAGTTTCGTTTGAAGCATGATGAATTTGAGGCATCTGGGGGACACTATAGTAGAAAATTCCATGCACAGTTGGAAGACCAACTGGGCCACCAACAGAGAGTTGGGAGTTATCCACAGAGATAGCAATTCAAAGTCTGACTTTGCTCAGGGAGTTCTGAGGAGAAAATACAGAAATTGGAGAAAAGCCAATACTATGGAAGAACTTGCTAGAGAGACTGAAGTAGCCAGAGAGAACAGGAAACCATGGGAGTATGGTGTTATAGTAGCCAAGAGAAGAAAGTCAAATGGTGTTGGATGGTCAAGTACAAAGATAAGTATAAAACATATTTGACAGGATGATCATTGGTGACTGTGGCAAAAGCACTTTCAGTGGAGTGGTGGGTTGGACGCTATTTAAAGAAGGCAATAAGTGCACCAAAGGTAAGACAGTCAGCCAAATTAGAAAAGACAAGCCTAAAGGGCTTGGCTGGAAAGAGGACATGTAGTTAAGGGAAAATTTTTTATTTTTAAAGAAAACCATGAATGTATTTAAATGCTGATGAGAAGCTAAAGAGAAAACAAGATGACAAATGGAAGGATTTCTGAAAGAAGAGAAGACCGAAGCAACAGTAGCAGAAGGTTAGCTTTAGATTCAACAAGGATTCACTTTTTATTATAAGTTGGTGAGTATGGAGCCAGGAGTTCAAAGAGTTCTTGGCTGATAGCTTCAATTTCCTCTGTAAAGTAGGAAAACAGTCACTTACTCAGAAAGAGGTAGGTAAGATTCAGAAGACTCTAAGTATTCTCCTGGTAAAGGGGATCAGGGGGGAGCCCTGGTAGCTAAGCCTAAGGCACTTCACTGCTAACCAAAAGGCTAGCAGTTCAAACCCACCAGCCACTCCTCGGAAGGAAGGTTGGGCAATCTACTTCTGTAGTGATATCGCCTTGGAAACCCAAGGAGGGGTCACTATGAGTTGGTCCGACTTGACGGCACATAACAACAACAACAAAGGGGATCAGAGTGTGGTCTTTGGCTTCAGCAAGTATATTCCTGGCTTTGACACTCATTTTCCATATTATTTAACCTTTCTGAGTTTCAGTTTCTTTATATCTAAAAAGGAAAGGCCACTCCTTCTGCTCTATTCATCTCCTTCTTTACCTTACTCTCTATATGTGTCAGTCAATACTTTTTTCCATTCATTTAAGAAATATTGACTGACCCCAGCTATGTACTAGGCTCTGCACTGAAGCAGGGCAACAAAACAGACAAGTCCTCTGGCCTCATGGAGCTTAATCTTATGGGTTTGTTTGTTAACAGTTAACCAACAAATATCCAGGATAGGATCATTGAGTGCAAGAGGCACACGGAAACTTCCTGGGATGACAAAAATGATGTATATATCATTAGGGTGGTAGCTACACAGTTTTACATCAGTCAAAACTCATCCATGGGTATACTTTATTGTATGTGAATTAAGCCTCAATTAAAAAACAAAGATCTCAAGTTATGTCCATTATCATGAAGGAAAAATAAAAGAGACTATTCTATGATTTTGATTCAAAGCTTCTCAGAGGAACTGATTAAAAATGAGCAGGAGTTAGCCAGGTGAAGGGGAAAAGGAAGGATACTCCAGGCAGAGGGAACATTCTGGGCAAAGACTCTGGGAGAAAAGATCAAGCTTACCTGAGGACATGAAAGGGGCAGTGTGGCTGAAGTGTAGAATATGAGGAGGAAAGACTGGGATGAGATGAAGTTAGAGAGGTAGACCAGGGCTGGATCACACAGGGTCTTGTAGTCAACAATTTCAGATTTTACAGTAACACATCAAGCACCATGGATGGTTTAAGGAGGGTCTGATTTGTAAATAGTATCACTCTGTGGCAAATGAACAGTGGGCTAAGAGTGGAAGCTGGAAGAATTTAAGAGGCCATTATAATAATCCAGGAGAGATGGTGATGCCTTGAATTAAGGGCATAGTAAATTGGGAAATAGTCAGATTGAAGGTTTATTTTGGAGGAGTATCAGATTTCTGAGGAGCCCTTGGAAAGGCAGGTGGTTCAAACACACCCGCTACTCTGTAGGAGGAAGATGTGGCAATCTGCTTCCATCAAGATTATGGGGCAGTTCTACTCTGTCCTATAGAGTCATTATGAGTCAGAAGCAACTCAATGGCAATGAGTTTGGTTATTTTTAAAATTAGATTTTGGAGGCAGTAGGGGTGTTAGGATCATTAGTACTCTCGGATAAGAAGCTTTGAGATGCCCATGAGATACTTAAATAGAGATGGTCAGCAGCAGGCAGTTAGTTATATCGTCAGGTCTGTACACCAAAAAGTGGTTTGGACTAGACATAAAAGGGAGTTCTTAGCACAATGGAGACATTTAAAGCTCTGGGAGTAGATATCATCACCAAGGTAGAGTATACACAGTAAGAAGAGACTATAGCCCAAGCTCAAGCTCAAGCTCTCATGAACTCCTGCATTTAGGGATCACAGAGAGAACAAACAGTAGCAAAGGAATCTGAAAAGTCAGAAGTATGAACCTAAAGCATCACAGAAGCCAAAAAAATAAACAATTTCAAGAAGTAAAGTGGTGCCATCTATGCCAAATGCTGCTGAAAAAGTCAAGTATAATGAGATCAAGTGTGTGCACTGGATTCTGATTAAGAGGTTATTTGTGAGCTCAGCTAAAATCAATTTCCGGAAAGCAGGGGGACAGAGGTCTGGCTGGTGTGTGTCTAAAAGTGAATGGGACATGAGGAGGTGTAGGCAACTCTTTTGAGGAGCTAGGCTATGAATGAGGAACAGAGTAGTAACTGGGAGAAAGTATGAGGCTGGAGAAGAAAATCCAAATTTTCTAGTTCTGTCTCTTCTGATTCCAATCTCTTCCTCCTAAACATATCCCTTAATCCTTCAAAGAGTCCCAATGGCTCAGAAGATATACCAAAGCCCTTACCCCTCATTTCATTCTCTAAAACAATGGTTGCTAACTGGGGTGGGGTGAGTTCGGCCTTCCTCCTCCCAGGGAGATCTTGGCAATGTCTGTAAACATTTTTAGTTGTCAGGACTTGGAGAGGGATGCTACTGGCATCTAATGGGGAGAGACCAGGATGCTGCTAAACATCCTACAATGTACAGGACAGACCATCATAACAAAGAATTATGGGTTCCAAGATGTCAATAGTGCTGAGGTTGGGAAATCCTGCTCCAAGATGTAAGCTCCATGAGGGAAGGGGCTATGTGTCCTGTTCACTACTAGTGTCTAGAGGACTGGTAACTGCTCAATAAATATTCATTCAAGGGATGAATCTAGCCCCTGCCTACCTACCCATCCCCTCCCAATCACTTCCACTGCCATTCAGTTGATTCCTATTCACAGCAACTCTGTAAGACATAGTGGAACTTTGCCATAAAGTTTCCAAGGCTGTAAGTCTTTACAGAAGCAGACTGCCTCATCTTTTCCCGGTAGGTTTGAATCACCCACCTCTAGTTAGAGAATAGAGGACTTATACTAGCACACCTCTGCTTTATCAGACTGCGCAGATATAGTGCTGCTGTTTTGTTTTTTTTCTCCCACAAATTGAAGGTCTGTAGCAACCGTACATCAATCAAGTTTACTGGTGCCATTTTCCCAATAGCATGTACTCACTCGTATCTCTGTGTCACATTTTGGTAACTCTCATGACATTTCAAACTTTTTCTGAATGCTACCATACACTTAATTGACTACAGTATAGTACAAACTTTTATATGCACTGGGAATCCAAAAAACTCACATGCCTTGCTTTATTATGGTGATCTGGAACTGAACCCGCAATATCTGAGGCACAGGGGCTGCACTCTTAATCTCACCCCTCTAACTTGTTGCCCCTTCTGTGTTTTCATCACCAAATCCAATACCATCACATGCCTAACCTACACAAACCCATCTCAGTAAACTCAATGATTCCAAAACACTACTCTCGCTACAGCACCATCCCCTGCCAAGCCTGATTCAAAGAGCCTTCCTGAGCAATACCGGGCAAACTAGCAGGCAGATTTTTATGTGGCTAGCATACCACTTTTTTTTTTTTCTTTTTTAAGATAACTATTAAACGGTTTAATTTTAAATATTTTCATGATCTTAAGTAGGGCAGGCACTCTTTGGTGGCCCTGGGCCCCACCTCTGGTCTACCCCATCTGCAGGGTCACACATTTGTTTCATGTCAGGGTCCTGAAGACCTGTGAATCTGTTGACTCCTAAATAAGAGATGGCCTTAAAATCAAGTGCGCACAACGTGCTCAAAGGTAGTGCCCGAGGGCCACGCAGATGGGTAACAGGGCCGAGAGAGACACACCTGGACCTCGTCGTCCTTGCGGATGGGCATGGAGCGGACATTATACTTCTGCCGCAGCTCCTTGGAGAGCGGGGACGACATGATCTTCCTGCGCACGTGCGAGGGCGCATTGAAGTGGCGTTTGCGGTTCTTGCTGCGGTCCGAGGTCACGAAGGGGTTGAACTTCATGGTGACTGTCTGCAAAGAGGGGTGATAGAGGGAAGTAAGGGGCCCATGGGAGTGTGTGTGTGGGGTACAAAGGCCTGTATCCCATCCCTTCCTATCCCCGCATCGGTGCTTCAGGGGGGAAGTTGGCCTTGAGAGAAGGCGCTTGAAGAAGAAGAATGGGGGATGTAAGTAATCAGGCGGTTACACGGAGCGAGGTGGGGAGGGGGAGGGATGCGTGCCTGACTAGAGCAACCGTGGGGAAGAGGGCCGAAATGAAGCCTTCGAGGCTGACGTAGGGGAGAAATGCTCAGGCTGGGGAAGAATAGCTGAGGATCACTAGGAGTCACGCAGAGAGATTTCTGGAGGAGCGTGTTTAGAGAGGCACGCGGTAAAGGTCCTGTAGGGCGAAGGGCTTCAGAATCTGAGAAATGACCGACCTCTACTCTCCCGGCGTCAGACGGCTTTAGCTCCTCCACGCGCAGGGCCGGAAATGAGTCTGCCTTGGCGCGTAAGGCCTTGCCTTGCCGCCGCCCAATTTCCGTCGGAGCGAGACAGAGTGGCACCCCCCCGAGACTCGGAGTGGAATTGCAGCTCCTCATTCCTCACGGCTGAAGGTGCGCGATGCCTCGTTCAGATGGCTCCGCTAGCGAGAAGGAGCGTACTTTTGTAGGGTTTGCAATAACCAAAACCAAACCAAACTCACTGCTGTCGTGGCGACCCCTCCGTGGGTTTCCCAGGCAGTATCACTACGGAAGTAGATTGCCCGATCTTCCTTCCGAGGAGTGGCTGGTGGGTTTGAACTGGCCGACTTCTGGTTAGCAGTCAGATGTCTTAGAAACCACGCTACCAGAGCTCCCAGGGTTTACAATAAAGGTTCTTTTAAAAAAATAAAATAATAAAATAAATAAATATATACACATACAAACACACACATACATAGACTACAGGGGAGCTCTGGTGGCATAGTGCCTAAAGCATTTTGACTGCTAACCAGAAGGCTGGCGGTTCAAATCCCAGCAGCCACTCCCCGGAAGAAAGACTAGGCAATCTACTTCCGTAGTGATACTGCCTCGGAAACCCAAGGAGGGATCGCTGTGAGCCGGATCTGACTTGATGGCAGTGAGTTGAGTATATACACACATATGTGTGTGTGTGTGTCTATAGTTGAGAATATACACAGTAGAACATACACAAATTCAATTTCTACATGTACAGTTCGGTTACATTCTTCAATTGTGCGATCATCCTCACCCTCTTTTTCTGAGTTCTTTTCGATTAACATAAACTCACTGCCCCTAAATTTCCTATCTCATCTTTCAACTTGCTGTTGTCAATTTTATCCTATATAGGTAGTTCTTAAAAGAGCATAATGCTCAAAGCAGAAATTCTTTACTAGACAGTTGCTTGGTTTTAAGAAGAGACTTCTGGGGATGTTTAAGGTTTAAAGATTATCTCAGGGCACTAGCTTCAGGGGTTTTAAGGAGCTCTGATGGTACAATGGTTAAAGCATTTATTTGGCTGCTAACCAAAATGTTGACCATTCAAACCAGCAGCTGCTCTTGCAGGAAGGAGAGAGATGAAGTTGTTTGCTTCCATAAAGATTTATAGCCTTGGAAGCCCTATGGGGCAGTTTTACTCTGTCCTATAGAATCACTATGAGTTGGAATTGACTTGATAGCATAGGTTTGGTTTTGTTTTTACCCTCCTTTTTTCTGCCCTTTGTTATTGTTAGTGCCATCAAGTTGGCTTCGACTTGTAATGGCCCTGTGTTCAACAGAACAAAACACTGCCTGTCCAGTGCCATCCTCATAATCCTTGCTATGCTTGAGCCCATTGTTGTAACCACTGTGTCAATCCATCTCATTAAGGCCTTCCCCTTTTTTGTTGACCACTTTATCCACTTTACCAAGCATGATATCCTTCTCCAGCGACTGGTCCATGTTCTGACAACATGACCAAAGTAGGTGAGACAAAGTCTGGCCATTCACCTGCCCCTTGTAACACTCATGAACTTTGGTGTCTATATTTTGCCTATTCTTGTCTTTTTATATAAATAACATCATACAATAGTTTTCCTTTTGTGACTGACTTCAGCATAATGTCTTCAAGCTCCATCCATGCTCATCTCTTTTTCTGGCTGAGTAGTATTCCATTGTATGTATATACCACATTTTGTTTATCCATTCCTCCATTGCTAGGCAATAGAGGATTACTGATGTTCTTCTGATGGTACAGCACCAACGATCTCTCTTCAGCTCCACAGTCCTTCTTTGCCCACTACCGTCCACAAAGAAGACTGCAGAGGTCATCTAGGCATGGTGGAGTGCTTTAATTAAACATCATGTTGCTCCAAATGCTAGCTGCAGCAGGCTTAACAATCACCAAAAATCCTGTTCAAAATGCAGATTTTTTAGGCTCCACCAGTCCTACAGAACCAGGTGAAAGATTGAGACCAGGGAATCTGAATTCTAAGCAAGGACCTTCTTCCCCACCCCCAGAGACTTTGAGGCACACCACTGTTTGAGGATTTCGATGAACCAACCACCTGATTTTGCAATGCTCCCACCCTCTCCAGTTTTTGTAACCCTGTTGGAAGCACTGGGGTCATAGCATCAGACCTGGAATCCAGTGCCGCTTAGAGGTGTATCTAGGGTATGGCAGGTATGGCACATGCCCTGGGCACTGCTTGAAGGGGGTGCCACTGAGCAGTTTCTTTCTTTTTTTTAAATGCATTTTATTGAAATATAATTTATGTACAGTGAAATATACAAAACTAAAGTGACAGGGGTCAATGCATTTTTTTTTTTTTTTTGCAGTGTTCCCTCCCCACCCCTCCCCTCCCACCTCTGGCCACCAAGAAAGAAAGTTTCCCTCCATATAGAAACCTTTCCTTGGCCCTCCACAACAATGAACTAATACTGTATTTGCCCTTCTGTGATTGACTTATTTCACTCAGCATAATGTCTTCCAAGTTCATCCATATTATGCAGTGTTTTGCAGACTCTACATTTTTATTCTTTAGTGCTGCATAGCATTCTATTATGTGTATGTACCACAGTTTGGTCATCCACTCTTCCGCTGATGGGTACATAGGTTGTTGCCATCTTTTTGCTATTGTAAATAGTGCTGCAATAAACATGAGTGTGCATGTATCTGTTCCTGTCCTGGCTCTCACTTCTTTAGGAGATATACCTAGTAATGGGATTGCTGGGTCAAATGGTATCTCCAATTCCAGCTTTCTGAGGAATCACCATACCGCTTTCCACAGTGGTTGTATCCCTTCACAGTCCCACCAGCAGTGTATGAGAGTCCCAATCTCTCCACATCCCTGACAACATTTGTTATTTTCTGTCTCATTGAACTTTGCCATCAGTGCTGGGGTGAGACGGTATCTCATTTTTGTTTTGATTTGCATCTCTCTGATGGCCAATGATTGTGAGCATCTCTTCATGTATTTGCTGGCCACCTGAATATCCTCCTTGGTGAAGTGTCTATTCATGTCTTCTGCCCATTTTTCAATTGGACTGTTAATTCCTTTGGTGTTGAGGCATTAGAGTTTTCTATAAATCTTAGAGATAAGTCTCTTGCCAGATATGTAATTATCAGAAAATATATATTTGTTGCTGTCATTTTTGTTATGTGCTTTTTTGTGGTGTCGATTTCTTTGTTCCATATAATTTTCTATGCTAAGCTCATTTTGTTTATGAATTGTGTTATCACTTCCTTCATTGCTATTGTTTTAGTATTTGCTGAATATTTATGCTGGTCCTCTTTTTTGATGTGAAGGTTTATCATTTTTCTTTGAGGTTACCATGTGATTTATAGTTTTCTTCCCAAGTTTAGAACAGTCCGTTCTATCTTGTAGTTGTTTTGACATCCCTACCATCTAGAAGTTCTGTAACAACAGTTTTTTCCCCTTTTTTGGTTTGTAATTGTCCTCATTTGTCAATTGATGTCTCTGCTTCCCTGTTTACAATCTTATAGGCTTATTTACTTTGGATACTTCCATAGCTGGGTTGGTTTCTGGGTAATGTCATCATGTGCATTAATGGTCAGTTGTTGGCAGTTGTTGCTTCTCTGTCCAAAAGACTCCTGTTCATATCTCTTGTAAGGTTGGTCTGGTTTTAACAAATTCCCTTAATTTCTGCTTATCTGGAAATGTCTTAATTTCACCATCATATTTGAGGGACAGTTTTGCTGGGTACATAATTCTTGGTTGGAAATTATTCTCTTTCAGGGTTTTATATATTCCATCCAATTGTCTTCTCACCTGAATGGTTTCTGTCAAGAATCTGAGCTTAGTCTTATTGGTTGCCCCTTGTAGGTAACTTTTTGTTTTTCCTGTGCTGCTTTCATGATACTTTGTCTTTGGTTTTGGCGAGTTTGATGATGATATGTCTTGGTGATTTTCTTTTGGAGTCTATCTTGTTGGGCGTTCATTCAACTTCCTGAATGGATGTATTATCTTTTATCATATCAGGGAAGTTCTCCAACAAATCTTGGACAATTTTCTCAGTGGTTTTATTTTTTCTCTTCCTGTTCTGGAATTCCAATTACACGTAGTTTATTCCTTTTGATGGTATCCCAGATGATCCTTAGGCTTTCTTCATTTTGTTTTGATCTTTTTTCTGATTGATTCATTTCCAAAGAATTCAGGTATTTGTCTTCAATCTCATTAATTCTGTCTTCTGTTGCATCAATTCTACTCCTTTGCCCTTTCACTATGTTATCTATTTCTGACAATTTAGTATTAATCTTCTGGATTTCTATCTGTAGATTTAGAATCATTTCTAATTTTTCATTTATTTTTGAGCAGTTTCTTTTTACCATCAGTTTTCACTGCCAGCTGTGAGAGATCATTCAGTAAGTTAAAACTAGTATTTTCATATTTGAGAGTCTCCACGGGTCAAGGCAGACTGTGTGATCTTGCTCTTCTGAGTGTAGAAAGAAAATAAACTAAAAAAAAGGACTCTCAGCACATCATGGACCAATTTTCATCAGTAAAAGCGAGGAAGGTGCAATTGTC